ATGGCAAAATGGGAGTTATTATTATTATTAGTAGTATAGTATTGCTAGTTATAATATAAATATGATAATATTTATTTTATCAAAAATAAAATAATTGATAAACATTTTAATAATTATAATATTGTAAAATAATTTTTTACTATATATTTATATATATATTAATATAAAACTATATTTGATTTAATTAATAATTTATATATCATATTAAATGTGAATTTAATTTATAGATAAAAAATTAAATATCTTAATAATAGTATAAAAAAAATTTTTGCTAAATAATTATTATCATAGCTAGATTATTAATTTTATTATCTATTGATATTATAAATGTTGTATATTTTGTTGTTGTTGATTATTATTTCTAATAGATTTATCTATTAATTTAGAAAAACAAAATTGTTTTTTTTAAAAAAAAATTAATAATTTACATTTAAAATTAATTAATTTTTTTCTAAAAAATGTTTTTCAAATTATTAATAAATAAATTGAAACAAATTTATTGGACATATTTACTCTGTTTGATTGGTTGCTTATATCAGTCATACGATATAAGTAGCGTATATTTTCGGTACGAAACGACAACAAGTATTGGATACGAATCGGAAAACCGGATTCAATTACCGGCACTTACCGTATGTTTGGATAAAATATTTCTCATATCAAAACAATTTCAACAATCGGTCGTAAATCATACTGGTCCAATTACTAATATTAATGATCATGATAAATTACTTTGGAAATTAAATTCAATGACAATCCAGGAACAATTTCAAATATTAACCAATTATAGATTAAAAATTTATTTGTCCAAGCTTAAAAACGATAAAGATATTACACAATGGGCCAATGCACAAATTGGTTTGGAATCAAACATGGTTTGTTTGACGTTATTTATGAACAACAATACGTACAATGAAAATATCTACGTCTACGATAGTATTGATAATTTTCTGGGAATTAACCTAGATAAATTACAACCATTAAGTTCATTGATGGACCATGTTCAAATTAGATTACATTCAAATGGCTATCTGATACATAAATTATGGTCAACTGAACGTTATTTATTTGCTAATATTAAACGTATTAATGATATTTATTTTACACGTACAACATTTATTGATAGTAGTAGTGGGCAGTGTAGCCAGCTAAATTTGGATGATAAACGTAAATTATCACGTACTGTTTACGATTGTACCTATGAATGTATTATTCGGCAATTTCTAGCTAGACACAATCAGCTATATAAGGAATTAATAATCTATAATAAAACATCCCGGGCAAAATTTCAAACAATATTACGACCAGGTTCATTACGTAAACAATGTCAACAAAATTGTACACTAGATACTACTAGAATATTTCAATGTTATCAAGAATATTATCATCTAGATAATAAAGATAGTAAACTAAATGATTTTGCATCCGATGATGAAAATTTACTAATACTAACTGTACGACCAAATAGTGAATTATTTTTAATATATATATCACAATTGAAACTATCGTTTATTGAATACCTGTGTTTAGTCGCAAGTATTACTAGTCTATGGTTTGGTATATCACTAGTTATATGTATTGATTGGCTAAAAAAATTGACAAATCGTTTGCACTTATATTATATGTCTAATGTTATCAATAATAATAATAATAATATTATAAACAACAAAATAATCAAAATTAAAAATAATTTTTTTATATCTAATAAAACTAATAAAAATAATAATAAAGTCTCTAATTGTCAATTAAATAATTAAAAATAAAAATTTACTTTATAACTAAACAATAAAAAAATAATTTCAATTTTATTATTATTTTATTTATGTTCTAATTTATTATAATAATATGTATAACAGATAAAATGTATTTTTAATTAGTTAAATTAATTTTTTTGAAATAATAATAATAATAATAATAATAATAATAATAATAATAATAATAATAATAATAATAATAATAATAATAAAGATATCAAATTGTCGAAAAACTGATATAAAAACAGGAAAAATATATGAATTAGTAATAATGAAACACATCATTGAAAAACATCAAACTAATGAAAAATAAATTAATTACTGGAAAAAAATTAACTATAATAATAATTAGTATACATTATAACTTGTTATTTAAGTATATAAACTAAATAACAATATTTTATTATGTTTTTTTATTATAAACTAATTAATTATTAAATGTATTATGACTAATTGATCCATTTAATTGATATATTTTTTTGTTGTTGTTATTTATTAGTAAAATAATTAATAAAAAAACTTGTTATATGATAAACAAAACAATTAACAACAAAAAAATAACTTATCAAGTAAACAAAATAATTAATATAATATACCGTATATAAACTGTTAATAATAAATGCTATTTATTAAATTTATTTTTTTTGTTAATACAATTGATTTCTTAATACAAAATAAAAAACATAATAATAAGTTGTTTGTTATATAATATTGATTTTTAATTATTAAAAATATATATTATTTTATTAGTATTTTTTTATATTCAATGCAATTTTAATTATAAGCAGTATTATGTTTTATATATATGTTATGTTATATATATGTTTTATTTGTTAAATATTATTAATTATTTTATTATTAATAATAATACATTAAAAAGACTTTTAAAAATCAACTAAAGTTAATAAAAGTTATCTATTGAGTAAATAACAGCTAATATATCAATTAAAATATAAATTTTTGCAAAAATAATGTCTAATAATGATGGTTTGAAAATACTAATAAAATATTTTATTTTTACTGGCAATTTGTATTTTGGACATAATATTAATAATAACATTAATACTACTACTAATAATAATAAATTTAAAACTAAATTTATTAAAATTATTAAATTTTTAATAAACATTTTTTTGATTAGTTTGCTAACAATTGTTTATATTAAAAGCATTATACATGATATGGATAGATTAAATTTTGGATTGGCTAAAAATAAATTGATAAAATTATTGTATACCTCATCAATATTGGGATTTTCATTGCAAACCTATAGTTCCTATTCAGTGATTGTCTGGAATGGCCGTCAACTGGTCGACCTATTACTAAAACCGGTTGGACAGCCCGACCATCAATGTTATACGGATGGGTACGAAAAACGTACCGGTATTACTGTTACAGTTTTTACTCTATTGTTGGCATGTATTATGCAATTTAGTTATTTGATGACAAATTTAAGTTTAGATGGATTCAGAGTAACTGTTTATTACTTGTCTACCGAACCCCTATGGCTGATGGCATTCAATACAAATATAATGATTACAGCTCTTATAGCTTACAAATCAATTGTAATATCTAAGCAATTGAAATATTTTTCGGAAAATTACCATAAATTTACACTAAACTATATTTTTAATTATTGTCTGGAATTGAAACAATATATCAGACAATTTGATCAATTAATATCATTTCATAATTTTGTAATTTTAATACTACTTGTAATTAGTTTATTAACCAATTTTACCATGATGTTAATTTCTAATAAGTTAAGTTTTCCTGTTTTTACAGTTAGTTTAGTTGAGGCACTGGTAAAACTAATTTATTTAGTATATGCATGCAATATATTACCACAAAGTTATAATAAATTTATTAATTTATTTGAAAATAAATGTCAATTGAATAAGAATAATAACACTAATTTAAACAACGATTCTGATGTTAAAAATTTAATAATTTTAAATTCAATGAAATCAATGTCCAGTGATATATGTTTTACAGCTTACAGTTTGTATGCAATCAATAAACAAACACTAATAACATGTTTATCATTAATACTATCTTATAGTGTAATACTCATACAAACTAATACCTGAATAAATTATTATTAATAAAAATAAAAAATAAATAAATATTAGCAAATAACTATTTATTAAAAATATTTGCCAACAAATTTGTGGTTAAAAATATTTTAAAAATAATTAGATTTAATATTAATATTAATCGTTTATTATAACTAATACTATCATATGCTCTAATAATTATAAAAACTAATAATACAATTAGTTAGTTAAATATAAGATATTTTTTAAAAAACTATTTATTTCTAAAACAAATAATACTTATAATTTTTATATTTTTTAATATTATATTTTAATTTAATTCATTCACTGATAACTATAATATAATACTATTAAATATAATAAATTATTATAATTTATATCTAAAAATTATCGTTTTGTATTATTGCTAACCAATATTGCTATTAAAGTTTTATAATATATAAAAAAATAATTATTTATTTTGCAAATTATTTTATAAGAAATAAATGTTAATTTAATTACTATTATAATTATTAATTATTAGTTAAAGAATTTAATTAAATTATTTAAAACATATAATATATATATATATTCAATACACATGTTTTATTTATTTGTTAAACAATTTTTGTATTTATTTAAATAATATAAATGTCATTGAAAATAGTATTGTTTAGTTTAATATTTTTAAATGTAATAATAAAATAATAATAATTAACAAACTTTGTTGTTAATTGATTGAAAACACATTTGTTTAAATATTTGAACATGCAACTATAATATTATTATATATATATATATATATATATAAATTATACTGTATTTACCAATTAATAAAAAAAACAAAAATACACTTAAAAAAAGTACAATATATAACTATTATGATAATTAATATAATTGTTAATTAAATAAATGTAAAAAATATTTTTTTAAAAATAATTTTAATACACTAGTTATAAACATTTTACTTATATAAAAATAATTAAAAATATAAATATTTTATAACATATATTATACATAGTATTATATGTAACTATTTTGTTGTTGTTTTTTTTAATAAATAAATATTTCAAAACTATAATCAAATAAATTAATAATAGTTTACAACAAAATTAAAAAAAACATGTCAAAAGCTAAACAAAATTGTCTAATATTTTCAATAATATTTCTAATGATTACGACATTAATATTACTGACAATTATTATTTACATGAAATCTGTGCCAAAAACAACTAATAATAATAATAATAATAATAACTGGCCATCGGTTAAGACACCGGTCGGTAAAATTGTCGGTACAAGTGTCCAGCGATTGGGCCGTCGGGTCAACTGTTTTCTGGGTATACCCTATGCTGAACCACCAGTCGGTAAACTAAGGTTCAGGAAACCGGTGCCTAAAAACCGGGTAAAAGGTTTGTTTTTTTTTAACTATTAATATATCTATCAAAAAAAAATAAAAATGTATTAATAAAAAACTAATATACAAAATAATATTTAACTTTTTTTTTTAAAAAAAAGTAACAAAATATTGTCTATATTTTTTCATTTTTTGAAACAATATATAATATATTGTAATATATTTTTTAGTTAAATACAAATTTATAATTCTATCAAAAAAATTATTTTTGATAAAATCAATACAATAATTAATTATTATTATTATTATTTATATATATAGTATATATATAAACTAATAAGTATCATATATCAATATATATTTTATTTTTAAAAATAAATAAAATAATAACATTTTTTTTGTGTGTGTGTGCAATAGTTTAACTTAAAAAAAACAATAATTATTAAAAAACAATTTTTTAAAAAACAATATTATTAAAACTTATATCTAAAATTTTGTTTTAAAATAAACTAATTAATTAATTATTTATTTATTTATTTATATTACAGTAATCAAAGCTATTAGACAACCAAACTATTGTTGGCAAAAACAATGGGATATCAAAAATCATTACGCAATCAAACCATTGCTTAAATGGTTTCCCGATTGGACCCAAACGGCTATTGGTGTCCAACGATCGGAAGATTGTCTCTATTTGAATGTCTATCAGCCGGTGCTTACAAACAATACTACTAATAATAATACAAATATAAGTAGTAGTAGTAGTAGTAGTAGTAGTAGTAGTAGTAGTAGTAGTAGTAGTAGTAGTCATAAAAATAACTTAACGGTAATGGTTTGGATATATGGCGGCGGTTTCCTAAGCGGTGCTATCAGTCTATACGATGGTTCAGTATTGGCTTCAACTCATGAGGTACTGGTAGTTACCATTAGCTATAGGGTAGGTATGTTTGGTTTTTTGGCCGCACCTGCCGATGATGATGACGGCAATAGTAGTAGTAGTAGTAGTAGTGGTAGTAGTTATCATGGATTGGCCGGCAATTGGGGACTTCACGATCAAGTGCTGGCACTCCAGTGGATCAAACTGAATATCCATTGGTTTGGCGGTAATCCCGATAACATTGTATTGTTTGGCGAAAGTGCCGGTGCTATCAGTGTTGGCTATCATATGATTTCCCCTAAAAGTCAGCAACTATTTCATAGAGCTATTATGGAAAGTGGCGATCCATTAGTACCGCTGATAATGGCCTCCAAACAGTCACATACACAGGCAGTGGTTGACTTGATTCAGGCCATCAATTGTTCCCAATTGAGTACTAATTCAACGCACCGGGAGATCATTGGCGATGGCATTGAATGTCTAAGACATGCCAACGTCCGGGAAATGTATAATATATCGGAAATATTATTTCAGAAACATTTGGGCGTATTTATGCCGATTGTCGACAACGACTTTTTTGCCGATCATCCGCAAGAGTTGGTCAACAATCGGTCATTTTATTCGGCAAAAGAGATACTCATTGGTACCAATGCTGTCGAAGGTATGTATGTGTATGTGTATGTGTATGTGTATGTGTATGTGTATGTGTATGTGTATGTGTATGTGTATGTGTATGTGTATGTGTATGTGTATGTGTATGTGTATGTGTATGTGTATGTGTATGTGTATGTGTATGTGTATGTGTATGTGTATGTGTATGTGTATGTGTATGTGTATGTGTATGTGTATGTGTATGTGTATGTGTATGTGTATGTGTATGTGTATGTGTATGTGTATGTGTATGTGTATGTGTATGTGTATGTGTATGTGTATGTGTATGTGTATGTGTATGTGTATGTGTATGTGTATGTGTATGTGTGTATGTGTATGTGTATGTGTATGTGTATGTGTATGTGTATGTGTATGTGTGTATGTGTATGTGTATGTGTATGTGTATGTGTATGTGTATGTGTATGTGTATGTGTATGTGTATGTGTATGTGTATGTGTATGTGTATGTGTATGTGTATGTGTATGTGTATGTGTATGTGTATGTGTATGTGTATGTGTATGTGTATGTGTATGTGTATGTGTATAATACAGTTATTTTTATATGTCTATTAGGTGCCTATTTTTCATCATTTGGACCAATGGAAAAGTATTGGAGGAACGATACTATTTCCGAAAACTTTACCAAACAAGCTATCGATGAATTGGTCAACGAGTCGGTACCGGCAATATTTCGGTCGTTGGCCGCCCAGGCGGTCAACTTTACACTCGACGGCATCGAAGACCAAAACAATTCCAGCCAATTGTGGAACCGTTACATACAGATTGTCGGCGACATTATCTTTGTCTGTCCGGACCAGTTGTTTATCGACAAGTTTGCCGATTCCCGGGATCATCATTCAGTCTATTACTATCGTTTCAATAGGATATCTGCTTATCTATCGCACCATCCGAAATGGGTTACCGGTGCCGTCCATAGCGAGGAAATACAATTTGTTTTTGGTGTACCATTGATTGCTACCGATTTGTATACCCGAGAGGAAAGACAACTGAGTAGACATATGATGACTTTGTGGACTAATTTTGCCAAAACTGGGTATAGTATTGTTGTTTAGTATAGATGTGTGTGTGTTTGTATGACTGTGTGTATGTATAGCTTTTTTTATGTATGTATGTGTATATATGTTTATGTGTGTTGTGTGTGTGTGTTTGTTAAACTGACTGTATGTATAACTATATGTATGTATAACTATATGTATGTATAACTATTTTTATATATGTATGTGTATATATGTTTATGTGTGTTGTATGTGTGTTGTATGTGTGTTGTGTGTGTGTGTGTTTGTATAACTGACTGTATGTATGACTGTGTGTATGTATAACTATTTTTATGTATGTATGTGTATCTATGTTTATGTGTGTTGTGTGTGTGATTTTATGACAGTATGTAGTTATTTGCGTGGGTGTGTTTGTGTATATTTATGTTTGTGTGTATATGTTTATAAAATTGCTTTTACTATAAATTTATTATGAATTATATTAATTAAAAAATATTTAAATTTTATTTTATTTTACATTCGGTTTAGTAATCCAATGCCCGATAATCCTAATCAATGGATAGCATATACACCACAACAGCAGCGATATATGATTTTTGATACAAACAATAGTTATTTAACTAATGGTTTTCCCGGATATAAATGCAATGATTATTATGAAATGGCTATAACTAATGCCAGACATATGATTGCCAACAAAATTATTAGTTAATTATGACATTTAATAAATATATATATATTTATAGATTAAGCTATTTATTTGGTATTATTTTATTTTATGTATACTATAATATATTAAATAAAAAAAATAAAATTATTATTATCATTGTTTTTTTAAAAAATATTTATTTATATATTAACTTAATGTTTAATTATTTTTATAATTATAATAATAGTTTTTTTGTTAATTATAATATACAATGTATTTATAATTTAAAAAACAATATATTAATTAGTTATAATTGATTTTTTGTTTAAAAGTTTTATTTTAATAGATTTTTTTAAAAGTAAAATATATTATAAATATATTTATTTGTAAAAAAATGTTGTATCATTGGTTACGATAAATAAGTTATTAATATATATATAATATATACTAAATTATTGATTAATATTTTTGTTGTTTGTTTTTTTTTGTTGTAAGCATAGTATATAATATTTACATTAAAAAACATTACATTTACTAAATATTACTAAATATACAAAAATATAAACTTTTTATATATATAAATAAATTTTATATACATGTATATACAGGTATTTAATCAATAAAATTGTTTTTTTTTAATATTTACATACAAAATGTCATTTCTAACTAACTTTGGAAAAACAAATTAATAAATCAAATACTAAGTAATATTTACCAGAAATTTTGAATTATTTGATTGATTTAATATTTTTATTTTAATAAATTAAATATTTTTTTATCAATTATTATTATTACTTCAAAAAAAATTATTATTATTAAATAGTTTTATTAGTGTAACTAATTGATACTGTATTTGTGTGTGTGTTTTTTAATAAATTAAAATAGTTTATTACTATTTTTAAAAATAAATTAAAATAATAATGTATAATAATAGTGGCTTAAAAATTATGCTCAGATATATAAACTATACTGGCAACTTTTATCTAGGTTATCAGCATGTTAATAAATTTGGTAATAAACTCAATACAAATCAATTGAAAATATTAAAATTTTCAATTAATTTATTTTATATATTGCTAACAACTTATTGCTTTTATAATGATATTATATTCAGTTTATTTCATTACAATAATAATAACAGTAATAATAATAATAATAATAAACTAATTGATAGATTACCGAAAAATAAATTATTACAAATATTAGCTACTTGTTCAACACTGGGCTTCTCTATCCAGACATACAGTTCCTATGTAGTGGTTGTCATGAATGGCCGTCCGATTGTCGACCTATTACTACAACAACAACATTGCGGACACAATGATCATCAATACGTGATCACCGATAGACGGGAAAAACGTATGGGTATTATACTGACAGTTATAACCATATTATTATCAATAGGTATTCATAGTATGTATTTGATAGCCTATGTAATGCTATCTAATTATAAACTGAAATCATATGATATACTAGTATTTCCTGTATATGTTATGGCTGTCAATACTAGTATGATATTTACCGGTCTTATAGCCTATAAATCCCAGATAATTGGCCAACAATTGATAAATTTATCAACAAATAGTAGTAATAATAATACAAATAAGTTTCGACTAAACTATATATATGACTATTGTCTACGATTGAAACAATTTGTCCATAAATTTGATCGATTAATTTCTAGACATAATATGCTATTATTATCTATACTATCGATTAGATTAATATCAAGTTTAGCTAAAATGTTTATTGGCGATAAAAATCTACAAATTAGCCTAGTTGAACTATTAGATAGTCTAGTACAATTTATCTATCTAATATATGCATGCAATTTGATACCAGATAGTTATAGAAATTTTTTAATAAATTTAGAAAATAATTATCTATTAGATTCTACTACTAATACAACATCAACTAATAATAATAATAATAATAATTTAAATAATGATTCTGATGTTAAAAATTTATTAATTTTAAATTCATTGAAATCAATGTCCAGTGATATGTGTTTTACAGCTTATAGTTTGTATGCAATCAATAAACAAACACTAATAACATGTTTATCACTAATACTATCCTATGCTGTAATACTCATACAAACTAATAATGAATTGTTAGTCAATTAAATTAAATTAATTAAAAAATAAATAAATCAAAAAAAATATTGAATAACTTGTTTATTCAATAAAATAAATTACTTTTAATTTTATTAAACTATATTAATACTAATTAATTAATATAAATAGATTTTTTAGTTATTAATAAAAAAAATTAATCAATAAATATTATACAAATCAATAATTAATTATTTTTTGACATTAAGTTAGATATTGATATTTATAACAAATATAAATTAATAAATTATATACTGTATTAAAGTATAAATAAGTTATTTATTTGTAAAACATTTGTAATATTATTACTATTACTTTAGCAGTTAAAACTAAAATGTTTTTTAATATCATTAAATGTAAAATTATTAATTATTATATACAAAATAAATCTATTAAATGTAATAATTGTTATAACGCCTGAATAAATATTATAATTTTTTTCAAAACAATAATTAATCTTTTAGTTTTTACATATATATATATATATTTGTATAAATTTGTAAAATTATAAAAATATTCATTAATAAAAAAACTAATTACAGTAATTTAAAAAATTTATTCATTTATTTAATTAAAAATATTTTATTAATTTAATATTTTATTTTTAAATCCAAGTAAGTTTGTTATAACTAAGTAAAAAAAACTACTATAGAAAATAACATAAAAAATTATATAATTATTAATTAAAACAAAAAAAACTGTATTATTTAAATTAATCATTACTTTAATGATTTATATGTTTAATAAAATTTTAACTAATATTAGAGAAAATACAGCCCATTGATAGCATTTAAATAAGATTTAAATAATTAATTAATAAAATTAATATTTTTAGTTATTTAAGTATACTATTAAAAAAATAGACATAAAATTCAAATATATTTACAACAAAAAATACTAATAACTTATTTGAAATGAAAATCTATTAAAAATATTTTTAAATATCTGAAAATTTTTTTGTTTAAATTAATTTCTAAAATATGATAACTATACTAAAAATATTTTGAATAGCATTTATTTATATCTAATTATAATATTTTTTGTTGTTGAAAATTTTTACTACTACTATAAATATTGTGTTTAAATAAATATAATTATTATATATTGATCTATAATTTTTAATTAACACAAAAATTTTAATTACAAATTTAGTTATTATTATTATTATTACTAATAATATTTGTATAAATGTATTTTTATTTTTGATTAAATTATTAAATTAAAATATATTAAATAAATATTTTATTTGAATAAAAACTATTTATAATAAATAATTATACTAAAAGAAAAAAACAAATAAAAATTGTTGTTATTGTAAACAATATATATATATATATATATTGTTTTATTTATAAAAAATGTTTGTATATTATTTTAGCAATTTTAGTAATTTATTAAATTTTGTATTTTTTTAAATAATAATTGATTGCTTTTTTACAAATTTAATTAATAAAATAGTATTTAACAAAGAAAACAAAACAATAAATAATTATTTATTTATTTTATTAGTTATCAGTAAATTATCAACTAATATAACAATAATTTTATTTATTTTTTTAGTACAATGCCTAAAGATAAAGGTTTAATAATATTGTTAAAATATATCAATTATACTGGTAACATTTATTTTGGTTATCATATTAGTAATAACAATATTAGTGGCAATAAAAATATCATAAAAATTATTTGTAAATTTATTTTGAATTTATTATTTATTTTATTACTAACTTATATCTATTATTAYGATATTTTATTTAGTTTAACTGCTTATAGTACTACTAGTAATAGTAATAATAATAATACTACTAATAAATATACTAATAATAATAATAATAATAATCAATTAAATCATAGCCAACAACCAAAACAAAAATTATTACAAATATTGAATACCTGTTCAACAATGAGTTTTGCAATACTGACATACAGTTCCTATGTTATGGTTGTCCTGAATGGCCGTCCGATTKYCGAYCTATTACTACARCAACAACAACATTGCTTACGTGTAGACAATGATCATCAATACGTGATCAACGATAGGCACGAGAAACGTACGGCTATTACATTGATAATCCTATCAATAATGTTATCACTAATAATAGAAAGTTTATATTTACTATCATTTTATTTGACAAAATACTACAAACTAACAACTAATGATATACTAGCCTATCCTATATATGTTATGGCTATCAATAGTGGTTTGATATTTACAACATTAATAGCATATAAATCCCAGATAATTACCGGACAATTAAACCAATTGACAACAAATATCAATAGATTTACATTGAATTATATATACAATACGTGTCTCAGATTGAAACAATTTGTCCAACAATTTGATCGATTACTAGCCATACATAATATGMTTGTATTATCAATATTTAACATACGTATGATAACTAATCTGGCTAAATTGTTTATCGGTGATAATTTATTACCAATTTCACTGGCTGAACTATTTGATAGTCTAATACARTTAATATATCTAATATATGCATGCAATCTGATACCAGATAGTTATAGAAATTTTTTGATTAAATTAGAAAATAAATATCAATTAGATATWTCTACTAATATTAATACTACTACTACTACTAACTAATATTTCTAATAWTAATAATAATAATAATTTAAACAATGATTACTGATGTTAAAAATTTAATAATTTTAAATTCATTGAAATCAATGTCCAGTGATATGTGTTTTACTGCTTATAGTTTGTATGCAATCAATAAACAAACACTAATAACATGTTTATCGCTAATACTATCCTATAGTGTAATACTCATACAAACTAATGTTTGACTAAATTTTATTATTTTTTAATAATAACTTGTATATTAAATATTTTGATTGTATTATTAAAATTACAAATTTTAAATTATAAGCTGTAAAAATAAAATTTACTTTAATGTTAATAAACTATAAGCACTTATTAAGCATTTTTGACAATAGTATAATATATACAAGTAATATATAAGTTATTATTATTAGTATTATTTGTTATTGATTTTTTTCAATTTGATATAAAAAATAATTATAAAATAATTTATAAATTAAAACATCTAGGTTATTTTATTAAAATATATAATACTTTWTATATTTAAAGTAAAAATAAATATTTTATTTKTAATTTGACATAAATTTTTTTTAAATTGATTTATTTTATTTTAAAAAAATTTATTTATTTTATTTTAGTAAAGAAATAATTTTTTTTTAAATTAATTGTTTATTTCAAAAAGTATCAATGGTTACAATAAATTTAAGTAATTTAGTTATTTAAATATAATTTTGAAAAAAAATAATTTATTTTAAACTATAAATACATATACATTAAAATTATTTTTATACTATTAAGCTGATTATTGTTATGAAAATTGCTTAATATGTTTTTAATTTAATTTAAAAAAATCAAATAAACATTTTTTTATACAATTTTTCTTATTTTAATATTTGCAATAAAATTATTAAGTAAACATTAATTTTTATTTTATATTATTTGTTTATTTCTAAAATATTTATTATATTTAAATGATTATTAAAGAGAGAGAGAGAGAGAGAGAGAGAGAGAGAGAGAGAGAGAGAGAGTTATAAATCATTTTATAACACAAATATAGTATCAATGGTTACAATAAAAACATATTTACAAAAAAATTTCATATAAATAATATTTACAGAAAAAAACATAATTTATTAAATATAATATTAATATTAGTTTAATAAATGGTTATTTTCATACAATTTTAATATATTTATATAGTATCTAAAAAAATTTATTAGTAAATGGAAATTAATTTGATTTTTATGTTTGTTTTTTTTTGAATAACTTATAAATACATTATATTTTAATTTTACTACTATATCAGTATATTAAATAAAAAATAATAATTTTTATATAGGAAACAATGTCTAAAAATAATAAAGGTTTACTAGTAATGCTAAACTATATAAACTATACTGGTAACATTTATTTTGGTTATCATATTAACTCAAACAAAAACAATAACATCAATGGCATCAACAATAGTGTYWTAAAACATAAAAATTTCAATAAAATTATTAAATTTCTATTAAATTTWKTATATATTTTATTAATAACTTATTGCTATTACGATGATATAGTATTTAGTTTAAATTCATACTATAATACTAATACTAGATAATAATAATAATAATTTACAACCAAAACAAAAATTATTTCAAATATTGACCACCTGTTCAACCATTGGATCTTCATTACTAACA